CGGAACTTCCGCAACGCCTCCTCCCTGTCCACCGGGCTGTCGAACTCGGTCATCAGCCGCTCAACGACCGCCTCCCATGGCGTCTTCCCGCCAGCACCGTCCAGGCCGTCATATACGGCCTTCACCCTTCCTCTCAGCAGCGTCACCAGCACCACCAGCTTCGCCTTCGGTTCCTTCACCCCCACCAGCTCCGCCACGGCCTCAAACTCCTTCAGGAAGCTCCGCACATCCCCGTCTTCAAACTCCTTCGGCCATGGAATCTTCATCCTTTGCGTAGGCAGCGACACCAAATGTAGTGAATGAGAACACAGGTGGAGGCAACCGAATTGTATTTAACGAAAATTACAGAGCTACTCAGTAAAATCGGAAAACCATATCGTAAATCGTTCATTTGCAAAAGATCAGTTCATCCTATGGAACTGGACTGTTCCTGTTGCCAAACATCAATCCATTGTCACTCTTCATGCGTTTCATACAAATTCCATTGTTTTCTGACTCTTCCTTTCTTGATCTTCCCCCCATATTATGCTACCAGACTTTACGTTGACACTCACGCTATATACTACTTATAAGTAGTTCGCACCACAGCACCACAGTACAATCATTACTGGTAATGGAGAAGATTAGGGTTTGAAGATATTATTCAGGAAATATAATTCAGTGAAATAAATTTGGAGAGAGAAAGATAGAGTTGATAAGTTCAGAAGGTTAGAATTTTAGAGAACACAAACAGTGGATGCACCTGAGCCACTGCAAACGATTCTGAGCCATATCACATTGAAAGTCTCTAACCATCGGTTACTTTCGTCTCGCGGACCCCAACCAGGTAGTCTACACCTACCAACACAACTCAGTCCACTTGTCAGTGACTTCATGGATTTGTGCCGTGTTTTGGTTTGACTGCCCATAGCTTTCTCTCAGCCCAACTCTACACCACAAAACATCGCTCATCGAGGCAGTCAGTGGTTGGGCATTCGTAACACATGTCCCAACCATCTAAACTGATGGAGTTTTAATACTTCATCTATTGATCCACCATCCTTACCTAGCACCCGTTTCCTAACAACAGCATTGCTTACTCGGTTGTCCCACGATACATGAGCAATGCTTCGGGGACACCTATGATCGAATACTAGTAGCCTACGAAAGTCCTCTACTGTTAACGGCCATGTGTCACAGACATAAAGGGGGACAGTGAACTGATGCACAGTAGACTCGTGCTTTGGTTAGCAAACGGATATCTCGCCTGTGCCATAAGTGACGCAAGTTGGCAAAAGTCAGTCGAGCCTTCTGTATCAGTGCCGAGACTTCTTCAGTAAGCAGGCCATCAGCACTGATGAGACTCCCAAGATAAGTGAAGCGGTCGACACGTCCAACTGCTTCACTCCCTATCATTAATTTAGATGCCAATGAGAGCCGATCCTCGACGAGCTATGTTTTGTGGTGTAGGAGTAACCTAGAACAAAGCTAGGGGCGGCCAAACAAAAACATGGCACAAATCCATGAAATCACTGACAAATGGATCGATTCATGTCGGTAGGTGTAGATTAGCTGGTTGCGGTCCGCGAGATGTTAGTAATCGATGATTAGAGACCCTGAATGACATGGCTCAAGACTGCTTGCAATCGCGCAAGCGCATTCATTCTTTGTGTTCTCTCAAATCCTAAACTTTTTAAATTCCTCATCACTTTATCTTTCTAGGTCTATTTCACTAGATTCTACTTCTTGAATAATATCTTATAATCCTAACCTTTCGGACTACTGTTAATACCTTTACTACCTATACTACTATTGGATTTGAACTGACAATTACATCTCTGTGCTAATGTGGTATGGCACCATGAACTGATGTACGTACGTACGAAGTTCTACGTTGCTGTTGATGATGATGAATCCTGAAGCCACATTCTGCATTGCGAGGTGTCGGAGTATTATTGAGGCCAATATTTTAGATAGTATATTATTTAAACTGATTCCTGTGTGATTGTCACAAAAGGACTTTTGTCTTTTCTTATAAATTGGGACAATCAGGGATTTAGACCGGTCAGGTGGGATTACGCCTAGTTCCCAGATTCTAGCCAAGATCTCAGCCAATCTAACTGCTGAAACTGAATTTTGTCAGCGTCTTCACAAAATAGAACTATGTCGCTAACGAAATGCAGGAGGCATGTACAAAAATAAAACAGCTTAGTATTCGTTGGAATTTAATGATATACAACTGATGTCAGTCAACGACAAATGTAACCAATAAATGTAATATTATGCATCAATGTTGTAAAACATTCTCGTTACAGAAAAAGGCGCATTCGTTGAAAATGAGAAGTATTGCAGTCATATTCATTTTGAGAAAATAACGCAATCTAATCAGTTTTAGATACAATGCAAATCATGAAAGGTAAGGCATTAATGCTAGTAAAACAAAAAAAAGTATGTCGATATAAGTTACTTAAATGGTATTTTATAATACAGATGGAAGAATACCTAAGTACGGTTGTTTCAATAAAACTGACCATCTTATACCAACCTCACCCCCATACGAATATGTATATGTTTGCATTTATTGAGCCTCTTAATAAGCTTACTTAATAGACAGTACCATTTTTGTCAGTAACAGTTTGCTCATATTTCCGCATCAAGGTTCCGTAGGTTGCACGATGATATATGATTAATTACGTGTTACACACTAAACATCTAATTCGCTTCTAGCTTAAATGTGAGTTACTTAAATCGCGTGATAATTTACTAGCATGTTTATATATATATGCACTATTTAATTTCTATCAATTCAATGGTATACGTACTCGCTTAAAGTGCTAGGTGGTCGTTTGATCCAAGCTGTACGGAAATAAGCTTATGAAATTTATACATTTGGAGAATTGATGTATGTATCAACGGGGTAAAAAGTTTACTATATCGATGACCTTAGGCCATTTTAACAACTAACTTGATATTTGGCAATCAAAAATGGTCAACTATAATTGCATCTTTTGAGTAAGAATTATAAGAAATAGAGAAAAATGATAAAATAAAAGAGGATTAGAATTTTTAATACCATCGATAAACTTATTAGTGCTAAATATCAATACTTCAAGCTACAGATCACAGTTCTTTAATCAAGCTAGAACCTAATTCCTAGCGTCCCATCTTTTAAAACCTCTGTCTGAACTGGAAAACCACCCAACCATAGCTCCCATTCTTACCGCTCCTAACATCAACATACTGACCGTAACAGTTCATTCCATGAAAATACTACCATCCAACCTCATCAAAATGATAAATATAAAGAAAATCACTAGTTTTTGGAAAAAAGCTCTCCGCAATAGTGTTTAAAATTCAAGTATGAATTAACTTGATTTGGAATAATTGCTCAAGACTGCCAGTATAACAGTTTTATTTTATAACGATTATTAGGAAAATTCATATACGAAGTGTAGGAAATATCTCGAAAATCTTCCAATACAACCTAATCCCCTAACATTAGGGATAACGTTAATTACCCACTTATTATAGAGCTTTTTTATCATCGGTAAGTGAAATATATAGACTCAAAGATTAATCAATTTAGTGAATACATTAAAAATCAATAGTGCTAACGTTAAGTTAGTTTGTTTCGTATTGCAATTCTCCTTTAAGTTATTCGATGGATAGTAAAACTAATTATCTATAAAACCATAAAGGCATAAAACAATAGGTTATCTTCTTTTTCTATGGATAAACTGTATTTACATTACAGCACTGTTCACTTTTATTACTTTACTGATTCTTTAGATGAATTCTATGGGAACGATGTCTTACAGTGAAAAAAAACCAACAAATTTTCAATGTCGTACAGATTTTTTGTTACGCAATATCATTTTTTTGAGGAAGCACACATTTCTGTGATCGAGTTCGACTACATCTGTGTAGTCAAGATGGATGGAATGGGTTCGAACCTGGAACTAATTAAGTGGACTGTTAATCAGATCACAACTCAATCACACTACATTAACCTTAAACCAAGAAGCTGAAAATATCGGAAAATATATTATCTACTCACATCTAAATCATCATAATTTATATTTCAGGAACATTTCAGCTAACAAACCAAATGATCAATTAGAATAGATAATACATACCAAAAAGAGGTTAGAATTATTTTCGTCTTAACAACAGTGACCTAGACCAACTTAATCAGCAATAAAAAAAATAGTATTAAGTTGTTACTTCACCGTTATTTCCCTGGGAGAATAGATCTGAGCGTGAGATATATTCGTATGATTAGATATTTTTATTTGCGATATATGGGCAATGTTTACCGAGCCAAAAATTAAAAAATGCATTTGAATGGACACATACATACTGACGTTAAAACGGACAGGCATTCATTCCATTAGAAGCCAGAGATGAAATATAATTTCAAGTCAGGGGCAGAGAGAATGAGAGAGATAGAAAGACAAGGCAGGCATAAGAATGGTCGGTAAATAGACAAAATCAATCAATAAAAAAGAAATCGAAAAGCAATGTCACTGGCCTGCACAAGCTTTTATCTCCCAAAACTATTATATCAGCTTAGATTATATTGATTAAATATCAGTAACGCATGAGCAATTAGCTGGTGGAAATATATATATATATATATATATATATATAGCACGTGTTTATAGATAGTTCTTTGATATTTCTCGAAGTTCGAACTGGTGACCGTGTACGCCCAAAAACCAGTACACATGAGTAAAAAGAAACTAACTGCTTACTATAGCAACAGAGGTTGATTAGTAAGTTGAAAATAAGAGAATGCGTGAGAATTTCAGCTTTATTTTATGATAGCTGCAGACAAGGATAAATTTTTCAGGGCGTTTACATTGACTCTTTTCAAACGATAAAAAAATCCTTTGCATTTTCAACAAACAAAAGCGAAACTTAAAAAAAAGACTAATTTTAGAAACAAGCTCAATTAATACGAAGATATTTAAAATTGTCAAATTATTGTGAATACAGTTCAAATAATAGAAAAAACTAACTTTTGCAGATGCATCACAAGCACCTGATACAAATGTCCGCAGATCAGGTGCTAAACTAAGGCTCATTACATCGCCTGTATGACCTGTGAAAGTAGCAACTTGTTGACCAGTTTCAATATCCCAAAGTCCACTATAAGAAAAATAAATAAAAAACTATCAAAATAACAATAATCGACAATTCTGAAGATAAGAGACTACATTCATTAAAAGATACAGTATGCTGATAGCAATAAAAACAACTACAAGAAATGATAGAAAAGTGTGTATTACAGATATGTGCTTTCGTGTCTATAGAAAACATAAAATATCATAAGAAAAACGCTGATACTGTTAGAAATATTTGCATTTCTGACAGTCTTGACATCTTCATTATTCTCTAATTTTGGTTTTAAGTGTGTATACAATTGCCCATTTTGACCAGAATCTTATATCCATTTCAACTTGATGATCAAGCTACTTGGCAAAAATGATTTTAAAAATAAAGTGCATACCTTTATAACATTATCTGAGCCTAGTTTTATATATCTACATCGAGGGTGAGGTTTAGCTGTTTAACATGTTTAATATTTTGTTTTGCTACAAACTCGGATGTGATAATAATGAATCCCAATAACAAACAATTAAACTCCTAAACTGTTATCAATGTTTGTAGTTCACACTAAGATACTTACAATAAACAACCGCAACATTCTGTGTAACTTAATCAATCGTTTAACACAATACAATTATTTGTTAAGCTTCAATAAATCTAGAAATTGATTGCAGTGTGAAGTGTTTAAATGCACTATTACAAATAACACTCAACAACACACATACTGAAATAAGTTAGAAGGTATTAGATAACTACCGATTAATTAATTAATTATTTACAATTAGGTAAATGACCAGTCATAAATCCGACTGTAACCAGAAGAATGAGATACAGAGGACATCTGTTCATTGCAAACTGGAAACATGTTAGATAACATAAAGTATTTTTCTGTATAATGTAAATATCAAAATATATATAGGTTGTATAACCTCGTCAAAGGAGTTCAGAAGGTATACAAGCAGATATACTACTATTGTTGAACATGTAAATACAGGAATAAAAATAATAATAAATATAAATGTAAATGTTAGTTGAAAAGTTAATACAGTAATTGAACAAATTTGAACTCTTCCGGAGACAGTCGTTACAATGTAGAAGTAATTTAAAGTCGATTGGCTGATTTATAGAATCTAGACAGTAACTTATATAACTGGACGCATCGCTTTAAAATTTTTAATTCACTTCTAAAAAATTCGCTTCTATTACCTCAACTACTGTGAAATTTCATCTGACAGTTTTATCACTCTGTGATAATGGAGTATGGAAACTTGAACTAACCCACGTATGCACCAAGTTCCACGTCGCAAATGACTGACTGATCAACTACAGAGACTTATCGTCACCATAAAGGCGCACAAACAGACATGTAGATGATAACTTTCTGTTTAATGAAGGCTTTAACAAATTTAGAGCTCCTGAACGTCTTGACCAACAATGTAGGAAAGTTTGAGGTAAGTTTCTTTTCTGTTACATCCTAAATAGATAAGTTTAGGACCGCTAAAAGTGAAATTGTCAAACTCTTTATAATCACTTCACTTATCTTCAGAGATCCGTCAAATCAGACTGGTTGGAGTCTGATGAATTTTTAAAATGGATACAAGAAACTCATTTAGATTTGCCTAATTTGTGCCACCTGTGGTACCCGTGAATGGACGTTTGCTTATAAGATGATAGAAACATTGGACTTGATTTTGCTTTATGGTTGTAAAATAAGCCCCAAGAAAGTGGAAAATATATATCGATTACTATCCTCTTAGAGCTGTCTTCAAAACATTCCTCGCATAAGGTGGAATAATTGAGTGAAAAACGGCAAGGTTAAATGTAGAATACTAGGAGCAGATGGTCAATCGGTTCATGAGGCTATGATTATAGTACATGTAGCTCATTCCTAGCTAATTTTCACTCTGCTTGAATAGTTAAGTGATCACAGTTAGCCAAACCACATAATATCATTAATCGAATAAGGGACTAACCCGGACCCATATAGGATAAAAACAGATTTACTAATGTGTCATTATTTATTTGTTTATAGCACAAATTTATTCATGCACGTAAGGCACAAAAGAAACCTACGAAAACTCATTGATAATAATGTGGAGAAAAAGAGGACAGAAGAGTCAAAAAATTGATATGCATGTGAACAACAAGAACACATGACAAAAAAAAATAAAACTGTGAAAAACTGCTTTCCGTTGATGATGGTTATTTTACTTTTAAGAAAATGGTAATGCGAAGTTACAATGTGATCATCACTAACTTTTGTAACGTTTTAAGTCACTATTTTTTATAATCTAGGATCCCAATCGGGGATTCGTGATGGACCGAGAGAATCTATTCGATACAGCTATCTTCTATATTACTAATACATGTTATAAACTAATTAACTTTCCACCTATCCCTAGTATCAGAAAAAGTGTAGTGTTAAAGTCGCTGGAATGACATTCGTTAAACACGATCAAGCTACCAGTTGATGCTTTAGGATGGTGGTAATAACTGAATTATTGCTATGGCGATCAAACATTTGCATTACTAATGTGGTGTTGTCACTGGATATCGGCAATTCTCCGGAGACAACAGTAGTTGAACAAGAGTTGTCAAACAGACTCAGTCAAGAGGATTAAGCTTTCTTAAATGTATGAAATAACTGCTTTTTTTATAAAAGCGTTGTATACCCGATCTTCTACAGGCAGAATGTCAACGGAAGTATTTCAGTCCACCGATTTGTGCACCGTATATTCACTCTTCTATTGTAATAAAACAGTTGGAAAAGTCACTTTTAATTTAAAGGATAAGCGTTCAATTATTTTTTTAAATCATTTTTCGGCAGGACTTAGTCGCCACTCGCTGTTTTCATTGATTAGTATTGATACTTTTGAATGTGATCGTTTTCTAGTGGCACGGAATCTGACTAATTATGCTAATAAAATAAATCTTCGATTTAATTTCTAAATATAACCCTAAAGTGAACTCAGTTTGTGCGACGGCGGTAATGAGAAGCCTAATACGGCTTCATTTGGATCCACTTTAGTTCGCCACTGGCTGAACACTTTCAGATACAGTGTTTTGCCAATTCACCTGGTAACAGCATTCGGAGAGGTATTTGCACATATCTGCTTCAGACTGTCGACTTATTTTTGTAGTGGGAAAGTCGACTGGCTTCGGCAGTAATAGTTTTAAAGATGTTGTTCACGAATGAGTCCATAATTGACAGTCTTCAACGAAATACCAGTGTCGAAGTGAACTTGACGGAGGACTCTGTAGATGTAGATAGTATGACTCATCTTCCTCCTCCTCTTCTTGTAAACCTTAAGCCAGCCTGTCAACATACAAAAGTCTGAAGTATTGGGAACTTATTTATTAAGGTTAGGAATGCACCAGAAACACTGGGACAGTGTTTTGTTCGAAGGAGTAGCTACGCAACCGTTTAAAATTTTCACACCGTCCGCTCCTAGTTTCGCCTTCCGGATTCTCTAAATCTGAAGCTTAAGTGATAACTGATTTTTTATCACTATCCTTATTAGAAGTGTATTTTGTGTGCTTGCTTGGTCGTCGGTTCGCCTCTTCATTTATTCTTGTCTTTTCTAGTTTCCCTCGCTTACACAACTGTGTACGCTTTCTTAGTAAACAAAATACCTTCTATCTAAACGCGAACCAATACAGTCATATTAAGTTATTCAACATTTCAGATAAATTGACATAAAATGTGCAATTAATTAAACACTATCAGCATACAAACACATAACATCCTGATTATATCATGAGTGATTTGGAGAAACATGAACTGAAAGTGCGTGAACTATTTTAAATACAGTTCACTAGTATAACAATCGATCGACTAGATTAGTTTGGTTTTATGTGTTTTTTATGAGTTATTAATAATGTAGGTTATATCTATCCCTTTCGAAATACCACACTATTTGCCAATGTTAAAAACTTACATTAAGTAAACAAATACTGATTAAAATGAGTATGGAATTGTACTTTATAGGTTGTTTCATAGAAGAAATGATGAGTAACATATTTTAAAGCTACATATATTAGCTTCTGGATAAAAATAATTTTATTTACCTATATTGATAAGCTGTTAACAGTAATGGGTGAAATTGAAACTTTACATAGGTGTAGGAAAGGAATCAGAGTTAAATACAACGAACTTTTTTAACTGCATAACACTTAGAGAACAAACTAAGCGAATTAAATAACACATACCAAGTTACATCACCAGAACTTGTCACAATTTGACTGTCATCGAGAAAGCGACAACATGATAGGTACCCTGTGTGTCCAGGAAGCTCACGGCTAACACGTACATTTCCTTCACGTGTTTTGAGATTGTAAATGGAACAAATATTGTCCAAACCACCGCATGCAACATAGTTACCGGAAGGTGCATAGGCACAGGTCATAACCCAACTACTTCTTAGTGGAATAGCATGAACCTACAAGAGAATTTTTTCATGAAATTTAAACTAGCGATACGCACAGAAGACAATAAAACGCTAAAATGTATAACCAATAACTAACAGAAAATGAAATAATGTAAAATTCAAACTAATTATAGATAAGAATACTTCATTCTTATAGTGCAAATCTACTTGATGAACTTACAAGTTCTTGATACATGGACCTGATTCAATAATTTTCAGAAAAATAAATGTAGTTAACGCAAGCACACAATAAATAGAGTAATTCCAAAAACAATTATTGAAATAGATATATTCAGTTTAAAAAAAAGGTCTTTCAAATCCCCAAAGTCGATCTGGTTTAAGATAATTTCGAAGGGATACAGTAGAAAAAAACTAAGATAATACTGAATTACATGTAATATCATTCGAAAATGCGATTAAAATCTCTACATAATTTACGAGACAAACATATTCTTGCCTTATTGGTAGTATACCCATCCCATACAATAAGTTTGCCATCTTGTGAAGCAGATACAAGATTGCGTGAATCAGTACTCCAATGCATAGCATAAATTTTAGCTAAATGGCCCCGTAAAGTACGACGAGTACGTAACTGAATTCGTCCTACAGGCTCCACATTGCTAGATGCCTGAAGTAGCGTAGTATCAGCTGCAGCTTTGCGAGCCTCCTAAAAAATACAAAAGATATATTCATGATAATAATGAAGATAAAAATAAATTGCTTAGCAGACTATAATTAAAAAGAGAAGTAAACGGACTTCTACTTAATGTAAACCAACAAACTACTATGACATAAAATATTATGAAGTTGATTTTTCAACTGTCAAAAAAAACTATAGATTTCATAATTTGAAAAAATCTAACTATTTCGTTTAGAAAACTGTACACAGTTATATTACCCGCGCCAATTAATTTACACGCATGCTAAGTAGTGACAGTTTATTAGTTAAAACATTTGGCTTTCAATCAGTTGGAAATTCGAACTAGGCATCAACTACTTCAACTAGTGTTAAGATAACGTCAGCAGCCCTTATCATAGCAACACAGCTCACAGATAACTACATAAATGTTCAATAAGAGAGAACAGATTTCCAACTAACTTTACTCAGAGTAAACATGTGATAAAATAACAGTAAAAATATTAGTGAAGAAAGCTGAGCAGTGGAAATAGAAAATGTTTAGTTCCTGTGTCAGTCGGACAAACTAAACGAATACAAAAGAATACATTCTCGTTAGTAATCTTCACAACCTATATACACTTTCCTGTTTATAAAAGTTACTTGCTAAACATCTGTACGATGGTTCCGTAAAAATATACTTTTTATTCGAGACAATAAAGCTTCCGCGTGAAAATTAGTCGACGAGTTTACTACGCAGCAGTTTGCTCACTCCTACTACATGGCTGTGAAACATGGCCAGTAAGAGTAGAAGATATTCGTAGGAGCGATGATGCCCGGTGTAGGAAGTTTGCTGGAAGCTAGGGGTGGCACATGGCACAAATCCATGAAGTCACTGACAACTGAACTGAGTCATGTTGGTAGATGTAGACTACCTGGTTGGGGTCCGCGAGATGATAGTAATCGATGGTTGGAGACCTTGAGTGACATCGCTCCAAATCATTTGCAATGGCGCCGGTGCATCTATTCTTTGTGTTCTACCAAATTATAATCTGACTTCCTTATGACATTTTTTCTCTTAAATTTATTTCACTGGATTATACTTCTTGAATAATATCCTTGAAACCTAATCTTTTCGATTACTGCTAATACTTATAGTACCTGTACCACCATGGAATTCGAATTGGCGATTGCATCTCTGTGCTAATGTAGTATGACAACTTGAACTCGAGATTCGACTTTTGGAGCGGCCGCAGTTAATGTACTACAACTGAAGCCAGAAATTATCTTCGTTAGTCTACGACACATCAGTCGTATGCTGTGCAAGCATACCCATCTACATTAAGCCATCAAATAAGTGTACATGGTTTTCCTAAAGCAACTAAATAACACCTATTCAAACTAGGTGATTCTGACCGTTCTTAAATCTTAATTTATTACTTACACAACGAACAAACTGTTATTCACATTTGTTGTACTTTCTATTTTTATTTAATCTAGACAATAATCCAATAACTACTTATACACTGCTATCTATCTGTGCACAAAAGAATGTGACATCTTTGGAAAGATTGATTTTTTGCAGCTACCAAGCATAACATATCTTTTTAAACAGTAAATACTAGCCTCAGTAAATAAATAATATTACTATAACTAGATATATGAAACTATATTCAATTAAAAAAGTGGACTTTGGTTTTTTCATTCATTTCGTATAGCTTGAAAATGCCAGAACATTCGAAATCAATATGATCATGGATAACCTAGTTTAGAAAAGTAGTTTTAACAATATTTTGTCTAAACCATTTAAATATGATTTAGTACATGGTTTGAATAATTTTTTCTGGTTAGTGTTTTTCCTTCTTTTCCTTCTTTCTTTTAGAACATATAAATAGAAAATTTTATAGATCAGAAATACAGTTTAAAATGTCTATACAAACAAGTTTAATGAAATTATAAAAGATTCTCAAGATGTACAGAAGAGGGAATCTGAAGTTTTTAGCAAAACTAGGAGTTTTCGCTTGAATTGTATGTTTATAAGAGTAAAAGCAATCTCTTGTGTCGAGAAATAAATGTTGTTAGATTATCAAAGAAATAAAAATTAAAAATCGACTCATCAATAATACTTGATCCTACGTAGTAAATACAGGGACACTGCGTGCGTTTACTGTTATATCTTACGAATAATAAGTCCAATTACAGAGGAACAAAATGCCACATAAGATTGCGGAGACAGTATATTAACTCTTTTTTTAGTTATATATTAACTGAAACAATGAGGCAGAGTAAACTTTCATATTCAACTGTAGTGTAATATAAAAATAAGACATTGAATTTTCGCATCATTATAATGCCCTGAAAACAAGATAGTACACGATAACAATATTACAGTCATTAGGTTTAATTTATAAGACTACGAGCAAAATCTACTGAAGGAAACTTCAGGACGCTCTCTGAACTCTCAAGGTTAAGTAAATAGATCAAGATTTAATAAAGGAAACTATCACTTAATATACTAATTAAAGAAAAATAATCCATACACCCAACTGGAAGAAAACGAATAGAAACGATAGAAAATTAGAAATAAATACAAGTGTAAGCAATGAAAGTAGATATTCGTATCATTATCTTCCACAGGTGACCAATAGCTTGAAAAATTAAGTTATATCCACTATGAATTGTGTGTTCTGATCACGGTGAATTATACACCAACCAACACAATTGGGAAAATATTTCAAGCTAAGGATATCAATAACAGTTAGAACTAATTAATTTAATATGACCTTATGCCCCCAAAAAGTGAATACGGGTTTGAACTGTTAACAACTGAACTTTTACTGCAATTTTTACACACACTAACATGTCAATAAATATGCAAAGTGAGTTTGGTAGATAAATATTCACCGAAAGAATAAATTTTCTAGGTTCTGCTTCTAAGATGAAGCTTCTAAATTAATATAATGATAGTAGTGTTCTTCTGTGACTAAACAGCATTACATACTAATCAATGGTCTGAATAAATCCACATAGACCATTAAATTTACATTTGTTAAACTACAATTATACATTCCAAGGCAACCAATAAAATTAATTACGAAATAAAATGAAGATAAATTATCTGACACATTGATCAAAGAATGTGGCATTTTAAACAGTAATGCATCCATTAAACTAGTCATGCTTTTCAATGGCACTGGCAGAAAATTAGTAGTTATGTTTGGTATTATCAAGGGAATAAGAAACAAGAATGGAAACGTTACACATCCAAGAATAAAGAGTAAACAAATAAGCAGTAGGAAGATTGATACACCATCAACATATAGTAAAACACTCTATGATTAGTTTGATAGTAAGCACAACGTATTTCGTTCTAAGCTCTTCCTAAGATTAATGCAAAACCAAAGTAGATAAACTTAAGTAAATAGATACTACAAATAGATATGTGCAGTGAAAAAAACATCACATTAAAAGGATAACTTTGGGTGTGGCAAATATGAAAGACGCCTAACATAAGGGAACAAGATGGAAATGAAAATCCAAATTTACGAAAATAAAACAAAATTGTAGGTAGTTGAACTAGTTTCAAACAACCGAATCATACTCAAAAGTCATCAACAGGAATATAGACTACAGTTACGTAATAAAATTCTTTGATACCTATTAATGTAGTAAAATAAAAGACATGAAACACGGAAGCTTGGCAACATGGATGGGATTATCTTCTTAGAAGTAGCGTTTTCATATTTATCATGATTAGTTTAGTCGGAAAAGTACTTATGGTATTTTCGTAATGAATGAGTCATAGATCTCACAGTTTGATTCCTAAATTTTAGACTGTTTTAACAGGAACGGACAACAATGGTTTTAGGCCGTGAGAAAAAACAAATGACTATGAATAATGCAGCTTTAAGCCGAGGCCTATGTCTAGCTTTTCGTAGGAACTACATTAACAGAGACAAAAAGAATCAATATAGAACCTGACATACATATATACTGGCTTAGCTTTTTATACTATATAAGCACGAGGGAATGAAAATATAAAATGAATTCCAAAAGAGGTTCAAATAATAGGGTGGCGATGGTTAGAAAGAGGACTAAGCATTACAAATTCGGTTCGAAAGGGGACTGAGTCGAGATACTAGTATTTTCGCAAGACTTTAATTTAGTGAAAATGTGACTAAAGAACACCTTCAGTTTAACTATTTGACTAAACGTAAAAAAGAAAAACCACAGACTTTAAAAACATTTTAACAGACTCACTCTAATCATATTTTTGAGTTGTTCACTTTCTTGCCGTAGCTGATCTAATTCACTCATTTTCAGTGAAAAACTGAGGATAAAAGAGAGATTGATTAGAAATAAGTCAATAAATATACAAATTTGAACAATGTAGTTAGACAGTTTCAAAATATGAAATACCGTACACTCAAGAATATGATAGGATTATTGAAAATGGATTTTTACATTAAAATAGCTTCATTTTTGTTTCACAGAACCCAAGACGAGAAAAGAACGGAGAAACTTATGGCTATTACAATGATATATGCTGCACAAGACCCAAATGACATACAAATAAGCAATTTAAACTTCAGAAACTATGTTAAGGTTTGAGCACAACTCCATATTATCAGGGTTTAGGGAACCGGACAACAATTACAAAAAGTGTAGGTCATGATCCAGTAAATGGGACTAAACGTTTATGGTATTTCATATTTTAATAATAAAAAACTGTACAAGATGTTTTTCTAAGGATATGTTAGCTTTTGTACACCGAAATTAAATGATTTGTAAATAATTAGATGGGTAATTTAAAAGTAACGAACTAGGATTTGAAGCCTGATAAATTCCTCCAATAATTTAATGGAACTATATAAAAAGAATGAAAATAACAGCTGATTTTTCGAATGAAAATAGCATATCATAGCTATTTTCGTTGGGATTGATAGATAGCTTTGGTGTAATCAAAAATAGTTCTCTTAGAAAATTATCAGGTGAAGCGAATGGAAATAAATACCATCGCGAATACATTATATGAATTAGGGCTAAGCCAGAAATCTTTTTACGAGTATGCAAAAGGAAGGTTTATTGTTAATCAGCGAATTCGAACCAACAGTTTAGGTTCTCTATATTAAATTGATGGCTGATTAACACTTGAAACTTTGATGAAGGAAGGACTTAATTGTACTGAGGAAAATCTTTAAGCAAATATGTGACGTGCTTGTTTGATCATTAGTGTAAGGAGGTTTTAATTTAAAGCTTTAAAAATACTAGGCTTCGCAGTAAAACCCATGACGGGCGACTTCAGAGAAATCATTTCAGACAAAGGTATCTGGCGCGGGGTTCAATTATTTTGAGGATGACAACTTGATCCCGTTATTTAGGCCCCCAAATGCACTGGCACGATCGAGAATGAGGAGTTTGAGCTCCCTCTCTAAATGCTCTCATATGACCACACGTGTAAAGCCATTGGTAGGGAAGTCCTACACATTGCCTTCTCGTGGAAGGGGTGCTGTGAACGAAAGTGGGAGGACGGAAATGTGAATGTCCAGCGCCTTACACGGGTTGGCAGGTACAAACGATTTATCTTGGGGACATAAAAAATCCTGATTTTAAACGGATGGTGTACATTGGTCCCAAAATACTGATGGAATGATCGATGTATAAACCCACTTTGGTCACTAGCTGTCAAAGGACTGCATCGCCTAACGTTGCTCAATTGCCTTGTGGATTAGACTTTTGGGTCGAAGGATCGAAGAATGACCTCCTAAAAAGGCTAGTTGCTTTGGTTTGGTAACCCAGACAGTATCCCAGCCAACTCACGAATTCAGTAGTTTGTGATGAATAAATATCTAGGCGCATGTTTGTTCCAGTGTTTGTACTTAAATAAATAAAACGTACGATTCTTCCAAAATTACGTGTTAATCTCTCAACAAATCTAGTCGCTTTTACATATTTCTTTTAAGGTTCGCATAGGTGGACTTTCCAAAGAAAACAAGTCATTCCTCCGATAAAAGCTAAAGCACTAAAATTATCTTACATGTAATTCTGGCTTTGCAAAGACTTTAAAACAAGCATGTTTTGGCATCACTTGTAGCTATGCTCATTGAGATTATATTTTATGGATGATTCTAGAGTGAGTTTGAAAGACCAAACGCCTACTTGCGTCTAAATAGGGATAAGAGTGAGTATCAGGAACTACAACTATTTTCTAGATTAAGAAATTTGTGTGAGAAATTAGAGCGCAGATTTCGATCACGAAGTGATATCAACTATAGTGCCAAATTATTTGGCCATAAGGACAAAATTCCAGCGTTAATATCCGAAATTTGATTGCTTTGTCCATTAATTAGAGCCCACTTGATCCTCTAGGATTTCCGAGAGCATATAGCAACATCACTGTAACATTAAGGTAGGAGGACTTGAGACATATGACAACAACCGATTAGACGTTATGAAGCGCCAATATAATTTTACGAAGTCAGTGACTAACGGAAGATGCTAGCTACGTCACAGCTCGAGGTGCAGTAAGACAATCGACTGATATGCAATGATATAAAATATATTAGTATAAAACCATAAGTTGACAAGTCCATAATGAAGAGTGGAGTAAATATCATAACGGATTACTATCTCTTGAGATGAAAACGATCTATACTGTGGTAGCAGTGGTCTTTGAAAAGATTCGAATAATTTTAGTCAGAAATAAATGTCCTATATATGATTTATATGTTAACCATCTGAGAATAAGTACCGAAAACAAAGTATCCCAGGACCCAGAAAGTTCTGGCTATGGGAATTAACGAGCTGCAAATGTTTAATAAGGATGTATAAGCAGGTAAGAAACAGCCACCTACACTAAATGGTCTAGTCTATACTTTGTGTATGTACACTGAAAGCAATAAAAGTAACATCAGTGATAGACTCATATTCCGTTAACATTTAGGTTTCTTCCTTCAGCAAAAAGAATTATTTTCACTCACGTTACCAGGTATAAACTTTTTACTTAACCTTTGTCCAGATTTATTTCATTCGTGTTATTGTTGAAGTATGTATGTTCACTGAACTCAGTAGAGCGTCTACATACTACTGACCATTGCAGACACTATGGACAAGTTTCTATTCTCGTTCGTCAATAAAAATAAATAAGTTTTCGCGGAAAGGAATAATGAAATGCTTTTTTGAAACTGTCCACTATTTATCTGACAGTGATCACCCACAGAAATATTTCACCAACGCTTTTTCGGTGAAATAAAATGTGGAACTGATAAAACATAACCACAAATAACCTCAAGAGATCCGTAATAAAATACAGAAATATGATGAGGGTATGTGGATGTAACTTTTGACGAAAGCAAAGAGTACAACTCTTGCTGATGTGTTACACTATATAATGATAGAAATAAAATGTATCCAACATAGATAATCAAGCCGTATTTACGCAGGAGATTATCATTCAAGTGTCTTGAAAAGGTAAAAATATGTTTGCTATTATAATTTATGACGAACTAAGTGCAGGATATTGTATTCAAAACATAAACAGTACGCTTCCATTGTTACTCACCGGTAATCGCGGGGACAACCAACGCAACTCACAAACTAAGCGCTGTAACTGACATATTAGGTTAACTGTTGACGATGCATTACAACAAACACTAAACTTATGATTTTATTATTAGACAAATATCACAGAGGACTGCCTCTAGGCACTTAATTTTGCTCTATGTAACTACATATGATCATAAATTTACTTAAGAATTCATATTCTTATGAAGTGGAAAAAATATCTCAAATACAAAATACTTTTATCCAATATCCAATATATTTTTCACGAACTGGTATAAACTAACTGATTTCTTTGCACTTGATTCTTGTTCTTTTTGGACGGTTCTAGGTGTTTAGTGGTGTACAATAGGTGGGGTTCCAGCCATTCGACTGCACTAATTCTATCCAGTAGGCACTTGTTTGTGAGTTTATATGCCCCGTGATTTGAATGAATACATTTGTTTCAAGGCATCAGGATTTCTGGATACCAGCAGCTATCACATTACCAGACCGGAGATCAGCTAAATTTATTATGGAGAACAGTAAGGAGAAAAATCTAATGCTAATAAAATGGTTTCAGTGCCAAGTAAATAAACAGACAATTTTAGTTCATTAAATGGTAGTGAGGATTGAGTGAGAGGACCGGAGTGTAAGAAAGAGAGAGGAAACAGAGAAATAAGTGAGGTAGATTAAGTGAGTGATCTGAGGAGGTGGCAATAATAACTACTAGCAAGTCTCAAGACATGCATCAGACACAGCTTGTCCACGAGGCGGATGATAATCCGTATGAGTGTGTTTATTAAGTCTCTTCTTAAAGCCGTATCCTAGGGGGCCTGTGATAACCTCGGCTGGGAGAACACTCCAAGTTTCAACAACTCTTAATGAGAAAGAGTGTGAACAAACCTGAGTACTCGCTCTCTAATGAGCAATTTATTGAGGATTGCCTTTAGGGGGGTGGTGGTGATGCATCGGGATGGTTAAGCTTAATATATACGTCATAATCGGATCTACAATGATTCTCAGGTAAATGAGGTGGAATGATCCTGAATGTTAGTCTATCTTCATAAATCCTATTCTAAAGGTAGTTTCTGAGCCAAGATAGGAGTGAGTCAGCGAAACCCATTTCCACAACATCTGCAGTTATGCGTGAGTGGGCTGCTGTATCGAAGGCTTTTTCAAAATCTTTAAGAAATCATTGTTGATACACACCACAATGAAGCGTATAGGCACTGTCATAGGTAGAGACCTAGATACATTTCACCAGTAAAAAAGCAATATCATTGGCGTGTAGTGAAATATTGTTCTGAGTCCCTAAGAACAAGCCAAGTTTGCACTCGATGTACTGGCCGGAAACTGTTTGGATCGCCTCACCTGGCCGTAAATTCTAGAATTCAACTATCTGTGAAAAACGGAAAGTTTACTCGCAGTCTGTCGTGTTAGATGTTGGCTGTAAAGTTTATGATGAGACTGAGATTTTGAATGCTATAAGTTATTAGTAATGACCTCTGAAATACTTATACTCTATAGGGGAGAGATATGGTGGTTTCAAGAGCTTTTCATAAGGTTTGAATTCCAGCCCTCGAATCGTCTTTTTAATTAAACCTTGAATATGCCTTATAGCATTCTTCTCCATATAAATTGAGGGGGAGACACTATATTTCCATGCTCTAAATGTTCTGAAGTAGTTGAGTATTCCTTCAACTTCTCCGGCATTATTAAATGCAAAAAACGGATGTAATCAGCGTCTATATCTTTATATGTACAGATGGAGACGACTTTGAGATTTCGGAAAGAAAAAATTGATGCGTTATTTTTTGAAAACAGAAACTATTTTGCCATCGGACTTCAGTAATAATATTAATTAACTGGTTGACCATTGTTAATTCTTGAAGCAAGTTTGCCAGTGATGATCTTGGTTCTCTTCGAAAGCGTTAGATAGTAGGAGTGGTGCACCTAGTTCTAGTTCGAAATTAGCTTATCTCTCGATAGAACAGAATGGAATCCTGATCTGGGTTGATTCGATCACACTACCGTCCTTCCAGATGATGAGTGTTGGAGGGAGAAAAAGGTTGGGAAATATTCGCACCCAGAATAATAATTTAGGAATACATCTCGTCCTAATAAAAGATCCAGGAAATAAATCTGATTGTTACAATCAGTCATTGTACGGAGGGCTGTTAGGTTTCCTTCAAATTTACAGACATTTCCAAAGTCCTGTCTGGTAAAAAGTGGCATATAACCTATCACGACCACTTAATTGACCGCGTTTCAATACCGTGAACAGTTGGTTTACTGCTTTTCGATTCAGAAAGACTAGTGCCTATGGTTTGGGTTTCAGAAGTTTAGCTACCCAGTGTGGCTAACTTTTGATCTTCATAGCAAGCCTTGCTGACGGAAGTTGACAAACCTTCCTCTTCGGGCACAACAGGGTGTGCATTTGTTTCAGCTCACAAGTAACTGTTGTGGAAATATTTGTTGACCCATTTCAATTTACTTGTAATGTTAGAATGTGTCACTCTCGCTAATTGCCGTCATCTTGTGCTAGATATCTCCTATAAAACTGTGAGAACTACATTCACTATCTCGTGTAAAGTACACGTATGTAAGGTTAGAAAATGAAAGAGTATATGAAGAAGTCCAGCAAGTGGGTTACCCAGCACCATGTTGGTGCTGCATGATTTTCCCTTGCTCTGACCAACCAACAGGTTTCAGTGTAGGTGAATTCTCGAAATAGATAGCTCTTTAAGTCTAATACAAGGATAAAAACCTCATTAGTAATACTGCACACACCCTAGCTAAACGAGCTGGAACAATTATCCTTGCTAGAAACCATCGAGTATGCCGTGCTACACATCACTCACAAAAACTAGCCAACTTAGATCTCACAATTCCGAACATCCCTGATATCTTCCAAATGTAACTACAGTTTTCCGTATTGCTGACTTCTTACTTGAACGAGTTTGTGATTCTCGATAACAGAGGTTTTTCTGACGACAGCATTTTCTGGCCCTCGATATCCTTGACATCATCATTCGTATGCCAGACTTGACCTAGTGCACAAGTCGAGAAACTATGAATCCGTCCCTGGTTTCAAGCATATTTAATATGAATTTACTTTTGACATGTTATGTTAGTTTCATTATATTTGCATATATATATTTTTAGTCTTCTTCTTAGACTGCACTGGGTCAACTACAGCTATCGATAGTGCTAGTTCCCTGCGTTGACTGAAAGTTTTCAAGACATCGTTTTAGCACGAGCTCTGTAGCATCAGTCTTATTGTTCGTTGGGTCAAAGGGATGCAGAGCGGGGAAATTCTCACTTTGGCTTAATGAATAATCGCCAAATAATGGAATAAGCTTTTGAGATTGAAAATATATTTGTGCATTATTTTATCGAATACTGACGCCTATCTTCTATTCGTTCGAGAAGATAGAGTCCAAACCTAAGAACATCTGATAATTTGTCCTTCGAGTTGATAATGAAGTTGAAGAACCAATCATCGGTAAAGTTGTTAAATTTGTTATTCATGTAGTCAACTGAATTCATCGGAGACTGGGATTTGAATTTGTACCGGACAAAGTGAGACAGCCAGCTGATCCTCTTCCAAGATGGCTTTTGAGTATTTTTGGTGGTAAATTTCGATCCTTCTGAACTGAGTTGATGGAACTCTACCCACTTATGGTTGAAGTTTCGAGCCTGAAAATACGTTTGGAAGAAAAAAGTATGCAGGATGACACAAATTTACTGGTGCATTTCAAACCATCGATGGTAATACATTATTGAGTTTCATCATACCTTTATTTGTGTTGGTACTAGTGTGATCAAAAACACCGTTCTTTGCCGCACTGCGCCTCTTCGCTTGCTTTACCGTTATTGGAATGCCCTTTTTCTGGGAAGCTAATAAAAGAATCCGCGAACATTTCAGGGGATTGCTGTAGTAACTAAGAAAGCAGGTGAGTACATACATACTAAGGATATGCCGAGTAATGATGTCTATTGCAAGTAGTTACTGTAATGCTCATACCTTCTCTGTAAAACCACATTTTGCGTTGACTACATTCAAGAGGTGATGGAAGAGGGAGGACAGGTCGTCTACATGTTCTGCTTGTGACTCTGTTGAAATTAATAATTAGAAATCTGATTTTTACTACTTCTAATTACCTTTCGTTTCCAAGATTATAGGTTTAAATTCAACTGTGAGTAACAACCAGAGATATTTGTGTGACAGTATCTAGCAAAACGATCAACCAATTTGTCTAGTCACACGCCCAATATGAGTGGCTCTGCTGGTAGCCTCATTTTAACTACCATTCTGCCAATTACTGCTACATCAATTTGTGACTTGATGTGGATGCACAGCTTGTATATACATTAGCCATTGATACTAATATTTTCAGTTATTTACCTAGAGTTTTTATCCCTTTCTTTGATCCTTTTTTATCCTGAGCTTACGCCTTTGACTACCTCCCCTCTGGTACCGTCGACTTCACTCAAACTTGGCAACAGCTAACTTGATCACACACGCCCTTGTCAATGCACTCGATCGACATTCTGGTTCCGACTACATCTGGCACACTATCCCGACTCTGCTTATTATGGTCGCTTCTTGTTTCTCGGCTAGGCATGGTTTCCACCTACACTTAACACGGGCCACCACGAACATCATCTTCAGATTTTGGATACAAAATCTCTGGCGTGGCACGCCAACTCGAGCAGCAAACTCAAGAATGGTGGTAATGCTCTTAAGAACTATTGTTGATGGCTGAAAGTCTATTATATATGTTCAAAATTTCTTTAATCAAAAGCAATATACATTATTACTCATTAACTTCATAAATATGATACCTATAATAAATTTGACTTATTCATATATCTGTCAGATGATGAGTACGAAAATGAATACTTGTCTGCGAAAAATACAAGTTATACATAATGTATGAATACTCAAAGGAACAAAAGAAATTTACAATAGTACACATTTGAAGATCGTCATAAAAATCAAGCATATATATATATAAATATATAAAGCGTAATAACATATATAAAAATACCGACTTCTAATAAAGTTATAAAATTACTGTCATTAATACTATTGCTACTAATAATAATGGAAACAATCGTTGTATTTGAGGAGTACGGATTGTTGTGTATATAAAAGAGACTAGATTGACAATTTATAAATGATTTTCAGGAATTTAATAAGAGACTTAACGAAGTCCGTAATCTACATTGGAAGGACGAAAGTAATATTAGGATGTTATGAAAGCATTTGGAAATGAAAATTAATTGAGTAAAAATCAAAATCAATAGTTTTCATGATAAAAACAAACAAATAAATGCACATAAATGCAAAATAATCAGGTTTCTAGTAGTAGTAGTAGTAGTAGCTAATTATAAGCATTAGTAACAACAGTGCCAAAAGTAAAAGGAAATATATATAACCTTAGTAAATCAATATAATCCCGAATCACGTAACAAGGAATAAGCTACGTCACCACCCATAAGAGATCGTATAAACTCTGTTCCTATACGAGAATCAGTTACATTGGAATTTACATCTACTGTTTCATCTAAAGAACAAGGTGGATTGAAGTCCCGGATACAAGTTGAAGTTTCGGATGGCTTGCGAGAGGGATTGGTCAAATACTTCTTGGAAGGAACTGTTTTCCTTTGATAATTGGATAATAATAATGGATGAAAGTGGTTAGAAAATTCTTGATTTGTGTAAGAGTGCTTTGTTTTTGACTGTTTCGGTCGACAAGTAAAATCTTTAACTTTTGATAAATTGGGAGGAGTGGAATTCACAAAATCAGTTTCTTCATCCAGCTGGATTGGGACTAACGACTCATTTATAGTTACACTGTTGGAAGACTGATGATTCTTATTAGCAGGGATTGATACATGATCAGACATAAGATCCAGCTTTGGATTACACAATTTAATTCCATAGTCAGCTGCCTGGTTTCGACTTAAGAAAGGAGTTTTGATGAACTTTTTATGATGATTGCCATCTTTGTGACTTTTAACTTCTTTCGATTTTTGAACTTTTAGATCTTTTCGTTTTTCCTTTTTATTACATAATGCTTCTGATTTTAAGAAAGAGGGTAAATCAAAAAGATATCCTCTATCGAATAACGCTTTGTCTAGTGTACACATTTCTAAATTAGTGGGTAAAATCCGAAAATTTCGTGCTCTTTCGGGTGTTAGGCGTTTGCGTTTAATAGCTTGATTTGCAACTCCAGCACTTTCACCAACGGTTAACAAGTCAAAATAGTACTTGGCATACACTCCAAATGGTACATTGATATTGAACTGTAACAATCTTAACGTGTGTCGTTCTAAAGCATTCCTGTTTTAAAATAATGGAATAAAATGAGTATAGTCAAAGGAATCTTCTAAATCAGTGTATACAAATGTACAACACAAGTCTTCTCAATCTTAAACACTGAAAGCAATGATAACTAACACTTTCACAAAGTGTGACCTATTTTTACCCTGAATTGTTTATCCTTAGAAATGAATGCTTTCATTAATGAACGTCCTTAAAACTTACTTAGTTTAGGAAAACGTTGGCACAAGGTTTAGTATTAAGATAGTATATGTTCTCCAGAGAATGTTGGCACTTTTTGGCCAGAGGATTGTGCTCTGTGTCAGAAATTCCTGCATTAATATCTGTACCATCCACCATAAAGTTTAGTAGGCATAACCTACTACTTTAAATTGTTAGGTATATATATATATATATATATATATATATATATATATATAGATGTAGTGGTTTACTTTTATTTAAAAATAAGTAGACTGATGGTTGATAAGAAACTATACTTTACAGTTTATTTACTGTTACATAGGTATAATTTCACACCAGGGTATATGAAGATAGAGACGAACTTTCACATGATAGATAAGGGTCCAATAAGAGGAATTTAGAGTATTGAAAACACCCGTCTAAAATAAAACGTTTGATCGTAATAGAAAAAATTTAAGCGTCAAAAACTGTAGAATTTTAGAAATTTGAAACTTATCGGTTATTTTCTAAAAAGAACAGTAGGATTTAGAACTATTAAACTTAAAGGACTTCCACTTACAAATCCTCAACATTAACATTCCGGAGAATTTGGCAATAATCAATATTCCATACAGCTTGATCATCTAACACTTTACTGGCAATAAGAACGCAAGCTAAAAGTTGACGACGCCATGTCCAAGAAATCATAGCCACTTCGGCTCCAAGTATAAGTCGTTCAAGAAATATCTGTTTAAAAAATAGAGAATATGATAATAGTCACCAAGCTAAGGTTGTATTTCTGAAATTCAAAAAAATGTTAGTTGTTATATTTTCACTATCTAAACAGACAACTATGATGTGAATGATAGAAATGAGTGAACCGATAAAATTTGGCAAACCACTTGGAGAATATGGACCAAAAGACAATAAAATATTCTAGAACAGAGCACACATTTATGAAAATGTGCAAAACTCGATCCAGAGACAGTTAAAGGAAGTGACAATGATATACCTTCAAGCCCAGTAAGTTCTTTAATTCTATTTTTGTATGGACATTTCTCAATGTCTGATGCCTTAAATTTAAAGCAAATGAGACGAAAAAGATAATCAATATAATGCTAACCTTCAGATAATAACAAGAATTCTCGAGATCTAAGTAAAGAAACTCGGTACTGACTTGAATGTTAAGATCACATGAGGTTACATTTAAACTAGCCAAAAACAATGAATTTCTATCCAGATATTTCACCAGTAATAATGGTTTAAATCTACTATCTAACTTTTTCTACCAAGTGTTTGAGTCTGAAATAATCAGTACCTTGAAGATCTTTGAAGTTATTCTCCAAAGTTTACTAAAAATTCAAGTAGATTATAAAAAATTAGAAAAACTCGATGGAAAAGTAATTATTTAAATGTAACCAAATGAATAACTAGTGAATATTCAATTAAATAAACAAGTATTAAAAAACAAACTCTTAGAGGTCTGTGGAAGTTTTGAAATTAAAACATCCGAAATATAAAGTCTAGTAAGAGCCGAGACCTTCATTAAGCAATAAATACATGTTAATCACATAAAAATATTTCCGAAATAAAACTAATCACCTACAAGGGCTACAATAGCACATTCGGGTCCTAACAAAGCTGAGCTGAAAAGACGATGCAAAAACTGTTGGATATGATAGGCTGCGGAAGATTCCCAATCATCCATAACACTGGTGTTTGCGTCTACATCACACACAAGATTCTAAATAGAAAGTGAACAAAAACAGTTACTAATTTACAATAAAGTAGCCACAGATGTAACAACATGGGGATGATTCTACTCTGTTAAAAATAGATTACTTATTTATAGAAACGAGAAAACCTTTTTTACACATGCAAAATAACAACAACAGATATGATATGTATTACACAAATGGATCAAGTCACAATGACTACTGAATATTCAACAGGTTTAATATACTGTTTATCATAGTTTTGATGGCTTAGAGATCCACATTTTTTGAAAGAGAGGTGCGTTGATAAAATTTAAGCGTAGTATCAGTTTGTGAGTCCAAGTAACATTGAGATATTCGTTTAGAAAACACACATCAACGAGGACTAGTTAGTGAAGTCCTGAATATCAACACTAGAGAAACCAAAACATTTACAACAACAAAATAATTTATTACATTCAACCTAAAGTTCCCGAATTGTGATGAGTTAATACTGATATAGGTTCAGTTTATGTCAAGTTAACTTTGAACACATAAATTCTATTCAAAAAGAGGACATTTAGTAGCTTCTTTGAAAGCATAAATAACTTATTTTACTTATTTACATTACTTGTATGAGAAAGTCTGACCATAATCCAATAATTATTTTGGCATCATGCTACGAGCTGACCAACCATCACGTGACATAGAAAGCGTTTAATACACAATTTAATGGACATATTTAGGGTGACCAAGCCACTGAAGTCGGTTTCTAAAAGACTTTAGTTTAAGCTTAAACCCAAGATATAAACATCAATACTAATTGGTGGATCCAGCAGAATGAAGTTTGTGTAATGCATGTAAAGGTACACGTGTGTCAGAAGGACTGCTACAATCCTGCATAAATTATTGAGTCCACGTAACATAAAAACTCCAGTACATCTGCTTCAAATTAGATTTTCTGTGGAATAATTTTGACAATTGATCGAAATAAGGGAAAAGTATGTACTGTTTTACGAACTTATCCACTTTAAAATAATGAAAGACAAAGCCAACAAGGATAAAATTATTGATGTAGAAGCTTAAAATGCCACAGAAACCAGATACTAAACATATATACAATTTTAAGAGTTTTTTACTGACGGTTCGCTACTAAACATGATTGAAGAGTATTCCAAAAACCATAATTTCACACAAAACACACAAATTAGGGTATTTTTGGAGCACCAAATCAACTACAACACAATCTAGTTCGTTTATAAGTTAAATTCTGAAAGATCCACAATTTAATTGCCTAAAACATGATAAATGTTCATATTGTGATGCAACATACGGTAGAAAAAATTCTTGTGCACTAAATATCAAAGAAAACGAAAATCGGAGAGTCTCTGTTTGAACAAAAAACATTCCAACGAAAACTAAAAAAAGCTAATGAATGACTAGGCCTGAGATAATAATATCCCGACCGTAGCTGCCACCTTGACAGTGTCTGTCATTGAAAGGTGTACCAAAGAAGTATATTAACCTTATACAAGCTCTCTACTCGAACACCACTGGTCGAGTGAGAGCTTATGGCGAACTGTCAACGGAATTCTTTACTTGTTTTTGTAATGTAGTTTTGTAGTGTATGAATAGGTTGGAAAAAAGCTAGGGACGGCCAAACCGAAACAGGGCAGAAATCCATAAAGTCATTGACGAGTGGACTTAGCCATGTTGGTAATTGTCGACTACCTGGTTGGGGTCCGCGAGATGATAATAATCGATGGTTAGAGACCTTGAATGACATGGCTCAAAATCGTTCGCAATGGCGCCGGTGCATTTATTCTTTGTGTTCTCTCAAATCTTAATCTTCTGGATTCTTCAACACCTCTAGCTTTGACTTTCTAAACTTTTCTCATTTAATCATACTTCTTGAATGATATCTTCTAATCTTAACCTCTCCGATTACTTCTAATACCTTTACTACCTCTTCTACTATTGGATTTGAATTGACAATTACATCTCTGTACTGATGTGGTATGGCGACATGAATTGATGTACTTACGTACAAAGTTCTGCGTTGCATGACTGACTCCAGATACACGAAGTGTAAGTCGAGTTGCTTGTTTATTCTGACATGGTGAGATCAAATCAATGATTTTACTAGGATCCTGTATGCGCGTTTCCGAGACACAGCATACATCGATTGCGCGAGATTCTAATTTCCTAGCTAAGGAAGCCCGTTTTCCTATTTGACAGTGTCCGTACATCAATAGCTCCAACATGTAATTTAGAACGGGGTTTCAGGAGACTAGGAATGACGTTTCGGGAACTCGCATTGTTTGCATTAGCGGTGCAGTGTGATAAAGGAATGTGAGAAGAGTTAGTCGTGGAGATAGGAGAGATATTACGGGGTGTAGGAAGGATCTGATTTTGACCGATTTGGTCTCGCGAGCTGGTACTGGTATGAGGGCGGTTATCATTTCCCGTCTGCCCACACTGTGGAAAGTTTCCTTGAGGAACCTGAAAACGAAAATAGATTAGTGTCGGTCTTAAAGACCTGGGAGCGTGACCGCAGAGCCCAAGGGACAACTGCTTGAGGCCTGTCACGCACGGCCCTTTTATGAGAGGTTTTTTGAGTGTTAGCTCCGCTCTTGAAAGCCCTTAGTGGGCACCCTTACCGACGGAGACGGAAATCCGCGAGGTAAGGTGAGGTGTGACATTTCTAGGGTCATCCTTTTTTAACCCCTCCTTCCTTGGGAGAAGGCAGCATCGCTGCAGATGCTGGTTGTCCGAGGGAAACACCTTATTGCTGTCATACAGCTCTACAGTCAACAGCATAACTTTACCCTCAGACCTTGAGTAGCTGCTTTTAGCCTCATCGTTCTCCAATCGACCTGCCTTGCATGGTAGAACCTTTAGGAATATATGTTCCAGCCAATATCGCTCGGTTGGGTGATCAGGATTGGCAAGCCCGACCTACACGTAAAGGTAGCAGCTTCGGTCGGGAGTTTTTTGAGAATACTGAAAAGTGTGGAGTTTCCAAAAATGCATTATCAATAAATTAGCTGATCGTAGGTGTGGCGCGAATATTTAGCTCATTTGTAAATGAAAACTCTGCATTGATTTTCCTGGATTTTTTAACACTGATCGACGAATTCAATCGAAATATGTCAGCGCCACTAAGAAACCGCAATTCAAAATTATGCATCACTAGCCCGTAGATAGCAGCCAGAAACAGGTAACCTGTGTGAGTACTATTTGACAATAGTATTCCAACAATCTGCATAGTTGAAAAATTAGCATTAAGAAAACGGTTGAGTTACGATATTCATAAAAGTATCACAAGATTGTTTAACAATGTTATGTAAGGAAAATTTAGAAGTAACATTAGCCTACATGATGTTTACTACCAAAATGTTGTAGAGAGCTTTTAACCAAGCCTCGGAAGTATTAATTGAAATAAAAAAGAAAATAAGATTAGGCTGAGTGAGTCTTGTTCGCTGCAGCTCACCCATAAGAACGAAAAGCAAAAAGCAATCTTTCTATACATACCTCGATAGGGTAAACTCGTTCATCGAAGTTTTTATACACCTCTTCATAAATATCTTGTAGTGAATCAGAATATGCAGTTACAGTAGGTTTCTGTAACATATTTGAAAAATGTTTGTTCAGATCACTGCAAATAAGAAGTTGAATCGCCACGGACACGCTAGATAGTATGTCATTTACATCAGGACGAGCCAAATAGCCATCTCCAACATAGACAGTACTGCAAGAACTCCATCGTTTAAGAGAACAGGTTGTAGGAACCTCTTTCCTAGACTTAGGCTGATGTCACGTAATCCATTAGTGAATTTACAACATACCGTAAGGTCCCTATAAAAGCCTATCAAAATATATTGCTGTGTAAAAGACTCCGCTTACCTTGAGATCTAGGTGTAATGCCGGAAAGAAACAGTGTATGCTGTGAGGCATTAAGAGAAGGGTCAAACTGAACGTCTATAGTGCATGAGTATTATCAATGAGACCTGTAGGTTACAAACCTTCTGGTTCCCGTTCACTTATATGTTGTGTTGCATTATATACAACGACAGGTTTCGCAGGTACACTAATACATGCACTACTGACCCAGGGCTCCTGATTTGAGATTTTGAATTCATTGGTCTCTTCGGAAAAATCAGCCCCGTTATTCTGGTGGCCAAACACTAGAGATAATGAGTGGTTCTTGCAGTCTTCTACACCTTCGTCATCGAGTTCTATCCATTTTTGGCGACAACAAGCTAACCGGTTGCCCATGAATAGCAGGTCCGTATCATAGTCCTAAGCGTAACGCACTCATCATGAAGCCGCTCATCTTGTTTCAAAATCAAACTTTGTACACAGTAATACCTAAATATTTATCCATTACAACTAAGTTTCCTTGTTTACAAAGAGCTTTTTGAACGCCTTCAGGTTTTAAGATCAAAGGCATCGATAAAGAAGAAGAGTCGCTTATGGGTAAAATAAAGTGCTCTCCCAAAATAACATATGAAATTTAATACATATCGAGTTTATTCTGCAAAACATAAACTGTGAAATTAGCGGATTTTACAGTATAGAATGTCCTAATGGATTTTTAGGAACTCTTTACGTCCTTTAACCTAAAATCATTCCCCCGTTCCGAATCGTAATCATTAACCAAATATAGTGAAGTGGATATCTGGGTGAAATAATTTAATTTCATCAAATTGGTGTGATAATTTTAATTATTCCAGTCGGAAAGTTGACGTTTTTTCAAATTGGACAAGTAATTCTCTTGATATATTGAATACCAGATATAATCGAAGGTAAAAACCTAGTGCATTATTGATGTAGACAGTCGGCCTATTAGATTTAGGTACGATTGACATAACCTACTAGCTTACATAGAAGTCACATTTTGTTGTTATGATCAAATTTGTGTTATTATACTGTTGTAACTCAGTACGTGAATAATTCGATAACTGGATATAACCACTCGTAGTCTTCACTAAAAGTTGTGCTATGCGAAAAGTACTCAGAAATAAATTGACTATCTAATTACGGATTGGTTAGTTCATGATGAGTTAGTGAAAAACCCAAATGAATACTTCACTTCAGTCATCATCTACTTGAACGCGATTCGGCAAACTCTTCACCGTTCAGCAATCTGTTGTAATAAAGCGGAACAGAAAACCATTCGAATAGTTTTGAAAAGATTCGGTAACATTTTACTGTCACCTGATGCTAACGAGTTTGATCTGTGGGAGGCGAAAGAAGTATATGTACATACGTCACGGATGTTCAGTTCTTGACAGTGCTATTGTCCACAAAATCTTCATCATTAAAAATCCTAAACGTGGCTAAACCAGAAGTCAGGTATGAAGGGATTTGAAGATAAAACTGGAAAATGGTCTTTACATGAAGGAGTTATGGTAGACATAGCACATCGCGGATTTGTTTTATTGCACTTATTACCGATTTGAACAATTCCTTTTTAAAACTGAACCCACTGAGTGCCATTTTAGCTTAATCAGTTCCTTTACGAGCGTCCACTGTACGTGGGCTACTTTTTAACTTTGCCAATTCTGTTCATGTGTACATCATGTGTGACTGTCACCTGTGCAGCAGATATTTTACCGGTAATTCATAGATTATTCATTTCATGTAGACAATGAATCCTCGGTTACGTTATAGTGATCTACTTTTATGAAGAGAACGCGATTGGTTTAACAGAAACATTTATTATTACAACCAATTGTACAAGTGATTGTTGTAGTGCACCTTTTTGTTTAATCGCACCAAAAACACACATTTTCCGTTGTCCGAGACCTTGAGCTTGCTCAAATACAAAGTGTCTCCTGTATACCATGACACGATCTCAGTATTATTTCGATGCCACAAGATCGCCGACAACTATACATTCATTTCCCTATTCAATCTGGATGTATGAAGTATTCACCTAAAGCATTTTCATATTTGACTACTGATATACCACTGATCTAACTCTGTTGGGCGACTTATTATATTCTGTAATATAAAAACAGTGATATAAATATTTAATTAACATCCTTATGGTCCGAGTAGATACGTTTCAACAAAAATCACATTAACCTTGCGCTGATTATCTCAGCTGTAGCTGCCACCTTGACGTGGTGGTCGGGCTTGCCTATCCACATCACCCGACCGACCTTTGTTGGTTGGAACATATGTTTTTGCAGGATCTTCCATGCCAGGCAGGTCGGTTGGAAAACGTCGAGACTAAAAGTAGAAACTCAAAGTATTAGGGCGAAGTCATGCTACTGACTGTAGAGCTGTGTGACAGCAGTAAGGTTTTCCCCTCGGACAACGAGCATCTACAGTGATGCCGCCTTCTCACAAGGAAGGAAGGGTTAGAAAAGGACGACCATAGAAATGTCACACCTCACCTTACCTCACGGATTTCCGTCTCCGCCGGTAGGGCTTTTTAAACAAGAGCGGAGATAACACTTTAAAAACTACCTATGAAAGGGCTGTGCGAGACCAGTTGTCCATTCGGCTCTGCAGTTACGCTCCCAGGTATCTATGACCAACGCAAATCTACCTTCCTTTTCAGGTTCCTCAGGAAATACTCTTCCATGGTGTGGGAAGACGGGAAATGATACTCGCCCTCATACCTGTACAGTACACGAGATCAAATTGATCAAAATCGAATCCTCCGAAACTCGCCCTTCTCATGTTCCTTTATCACTCCGCGCCGCTAATGCGAACGATTCAAGTTTATGAAACGTTATCCCTCGTCTCTTGAAACCCCTCGCTAAACGACATATTGGAGCCTTTAATGCCCAGACATTGTGCCAATCAACAAGCTTTCTTTAGACAGGACTTTAGTATCAATGTATGCTTCGTTTCGGAAACACGCAAACACAATCCTACTAAAATCTTTAAATTCATTACACCTTGTCAAAATAAGGCCCACAAATATGGTAATAATGGCTAGTGACTTTCATGGTTAAGTAGATAAACAAAGTGAAAAGGAAAGACTTTTGATTGGATCTTATAATATCGTTGCTCATAGAACAGATAATGTGGATCGTCTGTTGCAACTGTGCTCAGTTGACCGCCTATTTCTAGCAAACACTAACTTTAGGTATAAGGAGGAACCTCTTTTGACATGGCGACTCCCAAAATCGTCTCAACGATGGACCCAAATAAACCGATAGAGGACTGTCGTGCGTTCTGGAGCAAATGTCTAGATCCAGATCCTACCCTAGTGCGAGTGAGTATTTGTTTGCATCTCAATGGATGTAGGAAAGCCACCGCAAAGAAACCTTTAAAGGTCCCGCTTAACGATAACAGAGCGAAGAGAATATTTCAGGACCAACTAGAAAGACAGTTAGGTGAACATGTCGTGATCCCCGACCTGAGGCAGCTTCGAAGGATATCAAAAAGGCTATGGAAACAGCAGTGATATCTGCTAGTAACGTATACCTCAAGGCTAGTTAGAAGCCATGGATCTGAGCAGCAACCTCCTAAATGACAATCACAAAGGAATCAGTCAGACTAAGACCATTTTTGAAATATTGTCCTCAACACTTATCCAACGCCTAACTTGAGCTTGTGAAGAGCAGACTAGAGACTGGATTCTGACCTGCACGTGGCTGTAAAGACCAGATGTTGACACTAAGTCGGGTGCGGGAACAAACACACACGTTCAGATACCAAAAAATATTAGCATTTATCGATCTAAAAGCGGCATTCACATCTGTTGATCTTGAGGTTCTGTGGCAGTGTCTGTCATTAGAAGGTGTACCAGAGAATTAAATTAACCTTATACAAACCCTCTACTCGAGCACTACTAGTGGAGTTAGAGCGATGCAGGTATTTTCGCGGTGTCATTCTCCCCTTCTAAATTCAAAATGTTGCTTTAGGATTGGCTTGAATCGGCACCTGAACTAGTGATAAGGAGTGAAGCAGATGAGCGTGTTAACCACTTCACTTATCTGTGGAGTCTCATCAGTGCTGATAGCCTGGTGACTGACGAAATCTCAGCTCGGATACAGAGAGCTCGACAAGCTTTTGGCCAACTGCGTCTTCTATGGAGTAGGCGAGATATCCGCTTGCTAACCAAAGGACGAGTTTACTGTGTAGAAGTTCGCTCCGTCACACTATACGGATGCGAAACATGGCCATTAAGGGTAGAGTACTTACGTAGGCCACTAGTTTTTGATCATCAGTGTCTCCGAAGCATTGCTCGTGTATCCTGAAACAACCGAACAAGCAATGCTGTCGTTAGGAAACGAGTACTACGTAGGGATGGCAAATCAATTGATGAAGTTGTGGAACCTCATCATTTGAGATTGTTGGGACATGTGTTGCATATGCCTAACCACCGACTGCCGCGTCAAGCTATGTTTTGCAGTGTAGGAATAGGTTGGAAGATACCAAAACATGGCAGAAATCCGTGAAGTCACTGACAAGTGAACTGAGTCATGTTGTTAGATGTAGGCTACCTGATTGGGGTTCGCGAGACGAAAGCAACCGATGGTTAGAGACTTTGAACGACATCTGAGGATCGTTTACAATGGCGCAGGTGCATCCATTATTTGTGTTCTTTCTAATTCCAACCTTCTGAATTCCTCATAATCTTTATCTTTCTCCTTCTAAATTTATGTTCCTGAATTATACTTCACGGATCATATCTTCGCTCCCTAATCTTCTCCATTACTGCTAATACTTCTACTATTGCTGTCACTCTTGGATTCGAACTGACAGTTACGTCTCTGGGATGATGTGGTATGGCAACCTGAACTGATGCACTTACGTACGAAATTCCTCGTTGCAAGTGACTGACTGGCTGAGCGTTGCAAATTGCGGATGAAAAATATATGGAGCCAAGCTGATTTTCTTGATTCTTCCTACTCTCTAATTTACTTGATTCCTGTAACCTTCAGGGGTTTCATGACAGCACACAAACTTATGTTATAGTGATTCCTACAGCCAAAAGGTGTACAACAAATCATAAAATATCTATCTGCTAAACAAGCATATTCTTAGCTGTCTTCTTTCACATGACTCCTACTCTTCAAAAACTTCTGATCGCGTAATGCATCTAGATATACCACTATTTGTTTCATCCGTAACTTAGAAGTGATGCTCTGTTGCATATCCACTGCATATTACTTTTAAGCCCCACTGTAATTCTCACACAACAAAATACTACTTACATTTTACATTTTATGAACAGAAAACGTATGCGGGTCTAGAAATAATAATAAAACGTTCATTGATAATTGTTGTGAAGAGATAGCTATATTTAA